CCCCCCAACAGGGGGCCCAATGGCGTATGGACTATGGAGGAGAGGGGATTGTCCCCCAAGTTTGACACTACCTTTGAGAACGCGAGGCCTTCCAAGACCCACATGGCGCTGCTGGAGCTGCAGAGAGTCGGCATCTTGAAGTTCCTGGTCAGCCAAAACGTGGATGGCCTGCATGTGCGTTCTGGATTCCCACGGTACTGCACCTCTTTATCCATCTACCCAGCAGAGCCCAGATGCCTGTAACAGGCATCAAAGCTGCCGTGTTGTTGCTTTTTATCAAGTGCAGCTTTGCAGGATTGTGTGTGTGGATGCTGCACAGATCTCTGCTAATGCTTGTAACAAAATAGATATTAACACTTCAGTGCTCTCCCAAGATGAAAGCAATGCCTGGGCCCAAACCCCTTCAGCTTTAGAAGCAACATGGCTTCTTAATCATGTTTGTGCTAAAACAGCTGTTAGTCCCACTTCTATAGTGAGTGTGTGGTTGGGGGGAACTATGGGATGCATTTGGAGAAAATAAGCTGAATTGGATCTAAGACTGGGACTAGGACAGAGGCAGATATAACAGCATCAGCACTATCTAAAGCTCTTGTGGTGGTACCATGGACCAAGCTAAACGCAATTTTTCCTGTGTTGCTATTTCTAAAGGGGGTGGCTTATTTTGTTTAAGGGCAATGACCCATATAGTTCCAGGACTACTTCCCAAAGCTGTGCTGGAACTCACTACAAATGGATTTGAATGCCCTCCAAGATCTAGCACCCACTCTATTAAAGGGCAGACATTGGCTTATATAAAGCGGCCGGTATTGATTGCCATGGGAAACATCATGATTGACTGTGTCTGTAAGGACTGACTTTGTGGACAGGTTACATCAATCCACTCTGCCATCGCCTTCCTCTTGTGAGCTTATGGGGGCTGTCATCTTAGCCCGCTAGTTTTACTCTGTGTGTGTCTGTAGGACCCTTTCGTGTGAAAATGGGAAAACTTCCATTTGGTCACAAGCTGATCTAAATTGTTGTAATATTTACAGAGCACTTTTAGCGCGCAAGGTGCTGCACAGAAACATTGTCTCTGTAGGGAGGTGTCTCGGGATAGAGAGGGAATGAAAGTCTGTTCAACGGATGGCTGCATAGCCTGCCTTACAAGAGCCGAATTTGTGTGCACATCGGAACAAAGTGCAACCACCCCTTAGAGACAGGCGTGGCCTGCAAGTCTACAGATCCCAGCATGTGGCGTTCAGGATGGAACACTGCATGCTGGGATTTGTAGTCTCTGTGGACTGCATCTCTGTTCAAAAGGAGGATCACTGAGGGCTGCGTTGTAACATTCCTTAGACTGCGTGTTGGCTACCACACCTCTTCAGCTGGCATGTCTGTGCTTCTGATTAGAGCAAGGTCAGCTTCCCTTTACTGTTACGGTGCTGACACAGATAACGCAATGCTTGTGACAAGTGCTGGATTGTTCGGCTTGGAGACTGAAGTGCCCTCTTGCAGGTCAGATCCCACAACCTTCCCCCAGGCCATCCGGTCCATGCACCTCAGTGCTAATCTAGAGGGACCCACTGGACAAAGGGGAATTTGGTCTCTGTAACCTATTCAGGCCTTGGCTTCTTTATGAAAGCTGCCAACAAGGGTGCAGTTTGTGGCCTATTGTTGACACCTGTCCCCTGGAACTGGACTAAGAACATGAAGCACCCTTTCACTGCTCTGTGCAAGTACAGCTTCTCATGTGATTCATCTCCAAGTAGTGCAGGTTGCAGGAGTGTTTGTTTTAGGTAAACTGGGTTTCGTCAGGCAAGGTTAATAAACTCCATCCCTACCCTATCTCTTCAGTGAGAAAACCTTTACTCGCGCCTGACTGGGCCTGAAGTGCCTTTAAATTATGCTTCGCCGCATAGATCTGTAACGCTTTAGAAGGGGCACAAGGGGGAGATAGTCCTGGGTTTCAGGTTAATCTTCGTTTTAGCAGCGCTGTGGTTTACTTGATTTGTTTGCTTCTCTTCCTGCATCCTTGTTATACTAAAGTCCAAAACAAGCACGGCATTGTGCCCCCACCTGCGAGCTGTGCACTTGATTGACGTGTGGATGCAGGCTCGCCAATCCCCACGTGTATGGCGGTAGAAACCAAGCTGCACTTAGTCAGGTAAAGACAGCTTCAAAGACATCCTCAAAGGAACCTGCCTTTCCATTAGCTCGGTCTGGAAAAGGCAGCTTCTTCCTTCGACGGAAACTTTAATCTACAATAAAAATACCCCAGACAGAACATTTCTAGCACTTCAAACAAATGGGCTATTTTCCTTGTGTGCTGGAGTGCTTGAATCAGGCTGGTAGGTGAGAATGCAATTTTAATTCGAGAAAGAAAATATAAAGGAAGAGATAAGGAGGGTGTGTGAATGGGAACTTGCTTCCTTCGAGAAGGTGCATCTTACGAACAGCATGACATGGTGTTAGCTAAGGAACAAATTTAATAGCTGTCTGGCTCGAGGAGATATTTGCTTGTATTCTTGTCCCATGAGGAAGCTCAGAGCTTAATTCTTTTTCTTAGCAATACAAACGGCCCTTTGCCAAAGTCAGACAGGAGTGATTAGCAAAAACACTGTTCTCCACAAATCGGATTCATTTTCTTTTGAATGTGGGGGAGCCAACTTCACACCTCAAGAACGTTCTAATGAGAGCTGTGACTATGGGCTATCCCAGGGGGTCTCAAACTTCACTGCACCGCAACCCACTTCTGACAACAAAAATTACTACACGACCCCAGGAGCGGGGACTGAAGCCTGAACCCATTCAAGGCCCGCTGCCCTGGGCAGACCAGGGGGAGGGGGACAAAGCCAAAGCCCGATCCCCCCCTGCCCCAGGCAGAGAGGGCCAAAGCCCAAGGACTTCAGACCCAGGCAGGCAGCCTGTAACCTGAGCACCACCACCCAGGGCTGAAGCCCTCAGGCTCCAACTTCGGCCCCGGGCGGTGGGATTCGGGCTTCAGCAAGTCTAACACCAGCTGTGGTGACCCCATTAAAATGGGGTCGCGGCCCAGAGTTTGAGAACCACTGGGCTGTCCCATTTGGTCCCTCTGGTCTCTCTCTTTTTTATTTTATTTTTTTTATTTCTCTGGCCTGGTATGTACACACACTTGCAGCAGTTAAATTGAAAGGGTGGGTTTTTTTTTGTGACTGGCTTCGTTTAACTGGTGCAGTTTCTGTGGGTGGGCAAGGCCGGTGTGTCACTCTCAAGTACTGACGTGAACACATGTTTTTTTTGTATGAGCAATACTAGACTCTCATTTCAATCTATGAATGAAAATTATAACAATTCTAAAATGGTAAAAAGGAAGTGATTGAAACAATACGAAAGCAACCGAACTGCCTAAAAAAGCCCAGAGCAGAAGGGGAATACGTTAAACCACAGGTTTCAGAGTAGCAGCCATGTTAGTCTGTATCCGCAAAAAGAACAGGAGTACTTGTGGCACCTGAGAGACTAACAAATTTATTTGAGCATAAGCTTTCGTGGGCTACAGCCCACTTCTTCGGATGCATAGAATGGAACACACAGAAAGAAGATATTTATACGTATAGAGAACATGAAAAGGTGGGAGTAACCAGACCAACTGTAAGAGGCCAATCAATTGAGATGAGCTATCAGCAGCAGGAGAGAGAAAAAAACCTTTGAAGTGATAATCGAGATGACCCATAGAAGGTGTGAGGAGAATTTAACATGGGGAAATAGATTCAATTAGTGTAATGACCCAACCATTCTCAGTCTCTGTCCAAACCCAAGTTAATTGTATCTAATTTGCATATTAATTCAAGTTCAGCAGTCTCTCTTTGGAATCTGTTTTTGAAGGTTTTTTGTTGCAAAATTGCCACCTTCAAGTCTGTCACTGAGTGGTTAGAGAGGTTGAAGTGTTCTCCCACTGGTTTTTGAATGTTATGATTCCTGATGTCAGATCTGTGTCCATTTATTCTTTTGCGTAGAGACTGTCCGGTTTGGCCAATGTACATGGCAGAGGGGCATTGCTGGCACATGATGGCATATATCACATTGGTAGATGTGCAAGTGAACGAGCCCCTAATGGCGTGGCTGATGTGATTAGGTCCTATGATGGTGTCACTTGAATAGATGTGTGGACAGAGTTGGCATCGGGCTTTGTTGCAAGGATAGGTTCCTGGGTTACTGTTTATGTTGTATGGTGTGCGATTACTGGTGAGTATTTGCTTCAGGTTGGGGGCTGTCTGTAAGCGAGGACTGGTCTGTCTCCCAAGATCTGTGAGAGTGAGGGATCATCTTTCAGGATAGGTTGTAGATCTGGTTATTGAGGGGTGTGTGGCTAGAGGGTGGTGTTAACTGTCTTTGCATGTTAGAGAAATGTGTGAACTGTTAGGGCTTGGTTTGCTAGAATCTAGATTACACGGGCCAGGGATCAGCAACCTTTCAGAAGTGGTGTGCCGAGTCTTCATTTATTCATTCTAATTTAAGGTTTCGCGTGCCAGTCGTACATTTTAATGTTTTTAGAAGGTCTCTTTCTACAAGTCTATAATATAGAACTAAACTATTGTTGTATGTAAAGTAAATAAGGTTTTTAAAATGTTTAATAAGCCTCATTTAAAATTAAATTAAAATGCAGAGCCCCCCCCTGGACCGGTGGCCAGTCCCGGGCAGCGTGAGTGCCTCTCAAAATCAGTTCGCTTGTCGCCTTCGGCACCCGTGCCATAGGTTGCCTACCCCGACATGGACACAACCAATGATGTGGTCCTGTACAAAGCTAGTTGGCTCAACTTATTTTTAGGCTTCCGTATTGAATTTGGAAGGTGGCGGAATCTCATCCTAGCTAAAGTAAATGTCAAAGCTACTGATCAATATGGCAAATGCTCGCTAATTGCCAAATATCAATGTGTGAATTTCTGACAAAAAATGGGTAGATTGAAGGAAGTGGAAGTAGAAAACAAGTGTCTGGAGTAGTGAAAATACACAATTCTGTCTAACTGACAGTATTCACACTGCCTAGCGATGATAAGTAGAAAGCATCCACGCTCCTCTTGGAGTGCAGGAAATCTGTTTTTTCCTTCAGGATCAAAGGTTATTGAATGAAATTTTGCTCATTGAAGCGGAAAAGCAAAATGTTGAGTTTGAGCCTGCACGCGAGATGCTTTTCTGGTCCCAGTGCTGGGCTTTCCATCCGTTTCATTCAGGAGCAATC